GAAGAAGCGAAACACAATGATGATCGAAAGAATCAGCTTGGAGCAAATCAACAAATCCGAGGAGATGATCGAGCTACTCGTCGACATCTACGTTGCCGAAGACAACTCAACAGCACTTTCCACTCTTCCACCGGGCGTACAAAATCGACCGAACGTTCGGAAAGTGATGAACAAGAAGCAAAAGGAGTGGATGAAACTCGTTTCAACGGCTGAACTGGACCCAAGAGAGGCGACTATACTGCAATGGTTATGGTGGGTATTTTGAACGATTCTAACATGGTGGCCTAACTTTTGAAACTTAAGTTTTCTAGGCCATAACTTGAAAATGACCTAGAACACAAACCAGGGTCATGTTAGGTCATTTCTAGATCATTTTACCATGTTGGCCTAGAAGATGCAGCATTGCAAAAGTTAGGCCACCACGTGACAATGACCTAAAAACACACCAGTGGCAAGTCTGACCATTTCTATGCCATTTCACCATGGTGGCCTAACTTTTGCAAGTCGGGTTTGCTAGGCTACCACCGTGTTTAAGCTTAGAATTGATCTAATAATCATATGGTGTGCTTTCTAGGTCACTTCGAAGTGGTGGCCTAACTTTTGCACACTGTGTTTTCTAGGCCATCTCTTCAAAATGACCTATCATACCAATTCTAGGCCATTTCACTATGGTGGCCTAGAAAACCCAACTTGCAAAAGTTAGGCCGCCATGTTTGTTTTTTATTCCAGCGGTCTTCCATCCGCTCGCTCCAACGACATCTACCTGGACTCGATTCTTCGTGGCCGCTTCACAGAATACCCCAAAATTCTGGACACCCCGCTGAAATTCGTCTACTTCTCGCTATTTCACACTGCCCTTGGCACAAAAATCAACTTGGACATGCTTCAGAATCCGCCGACAATTCTGGAGACGCGTCTGATGATGTTGGCTAATGGAACGGCGAATTTCGAGCCCGAATCGATTGAGGAGCATGTGATTCAGGCGGTTCGCGACGTGAGAGAAGCGGAATTTTGGCGCGCGAGCTCGAATTTCGAGAAGGCGTCGGAATTGAACGAGAAGACGAAACGGATGGTCCGGCTGGCCGAGCTGCTCGTCGAGAATCATGCCTACGACGCGGCGACGTTGATTTTGAAGTCGTGGGAGGAGGAGTGTCTTCAGTGGCGAGTCCCATCGATCGATATCGATTTGATAAGAATTGCCGGCGAATCAGTGACGTGTCAGGCGGGAGATCCGCGGACGGCTGAAATTAATTTAAGACAAATGTCGCCAGGCAAGATGAGCGAGGCGGCGATCGCCGAGTGGTGTATTGTGTTGAGCAAGGTACTTGAAAATGGAGCCAAAATTTGGCCAAACATAGGTCAAAAATAGGGTACAAGTGGGTCAATAGTTGGCCAAAAACAGGTCAAAAACAGACTGAAAAATAGGTCAAAAACGGACCCTGGTATAGCTTCCTTCAGCCTTGACAGTTTTAGACCAACCTAATTGGATACGGTAGAAGAACTATAGACCTACAAAATGATGAAATTTGGAGTACTGTATCTAATCTATGAACAAAGTTACACGGAGCCAAAAAGATCGATTATGTAGCTCGGGTGGTTTTTGGCTTATAACTTTGTTAATAGACAAGATACTGTATCTCAAATAGTATCATTTTCTAGTTCTTTAGCTCTTCTATCATATCGAAAAGAGTTGGTCCAACAATAGTGAAGCTGAAAGAAGCTATGACATGGTCCGTTTTTGGCTTGTCTTTGGACCGCTTTTGACCCATTTTTTACTCACTTGCGATACTTGGAAATAGACCGATAACAGGTCAAACACATATCAAGAAATTGGGCTAAAAATGGGCCGGAAATCGGTCAAAACTAGCTAAATTTGATACGATAAAACTCAAGACCTAGAAACTCATAAAAGTTGGAGTACTGTACCTTGTCTATGAACAAAGTTACAAGCCAAAAAGCTGTGACCCCGTTATTAGGCTGTGACTTTGCTCAAAGACAAGGTACAGTACTCCAAATTGCATCATTTTGTAGTTCTTTAGCTCTTCTATCATATCCATTTTAATTTGTTTGAAAATGTTGAGCCTGAAAGAAGCTATGGTAGAGCCAGTTTTTGGTCCATTCTTGGTGCTTTTTTAGCTTGTCTTTGGGCCGCTTTTGACCCGTTTTCCACCAATTTCTGTCCCATTTTTTGGCCCTTCTCCCAAGAATACCCCTTCAGATCACAATCGACTATCGAAACGACGATGTGGAAGGAATTCGAATCCTGGACCGTGGCTGTCGTCATCTGGAGCACAAGACATGTGTCGAGTCGCGACTCAAAGTGCTCCTTCAATTCCATTCCATATGCATGGGTCAGCTATCGAAACTCGAGGAATATCTCGAAACTCGAAGCTATCGAATGAAGAAACAAGTCATTGCCGAGTACGAGAAACAAATCGAGAAGAAGAATTCGACGCCCCGGGTGTCGCGTGGCACTTCTGGAGGCGATGAGATGAAGAGGACGGAGCGGGTGAAGAAGGAAATGAGACTTGAGAAGGCCGACGTGGAGAAGGTCGAGGGTTTGGTGGTGTCGGCGGCGAGGAAGGCGATTCAGTCGGCTTTTCAGGCATTGTGTAAGTTTGGTCATTCTTTTGGGAATAAGCTTAAAATGCCTCACCGAGGTACCGTAATCAGAAAGTCGCAACCCTCAGTTGGTCGGAATTGCACGGTCATGGCCTAAGCTATAGTTAGACCATGGTGGGCATCAGAGTGTTATATGGAATCTAAAGCTAATGATCCCAAAAATGATTTCAAAAGTATCAGCATCAAACCTGCTGATTCTAAAAGTACCGTAACCCAAAAATCGAAGCTTTCAGTTTGAAATCCCATTCTTACTGTACCAAACTCAAAATAGCAAAAAAAGAGTTTTTAGGATTACTGTTATAAATTTCTGAACAGTTACTGTACCACCTAGGATTACTGTATCTCTTTTATCTTTAAAATATCTCTCTTCCAAGTCACAACGGATGATCGGCGGCTCATCTGCATCTGAAGCTGAAAAAAAGGATCCTAAGATTACTGTACCTCTTCACAAAAAAAAAAGAAATCTGCCTAAAAAATGATTCTCAAAAATAGCGAAAATGGTTCTCCAGGATTACTGTACCAACGTTTCTTTAAAAGGTCCCTGTTTCTTTATCTTTTCACCAGAAATAGATGATTGCCGGCTCAGCGGCGGTTGAGTTACAGTATGCCAAAAAAACAGGAATGCAAAGGATTACTGTACCTCCTTCTCCCAAAAAGGGAACTCTGCGTTCGGGGGGAATCGAACCCCCGTCGAATGCTTGGAAGGCATCCATGCTGACCATTACACCACGAACGCATAGAACATCTTCTAGAAGATTCTAAAGACAACACGAAGCTGTTATCTCCGCTAGATGTTCCCTTTCCTTTAGCTGACCAGGAAGTAGATTGTCTTGTTATTCTACTTCCTGGTCAGCTACATATAATGGAAAATCTATCGGAGATAACA